TGCGACCGTAGAACCTCCGAAAATGGCATTTTTGTCCGAAAATTCCAGCCCTGTATAAATAGAAGAATTTCACTTTTTTAGGTCAAGTTTTGACATCAGCCGCTAGAGTAGACGGTTTCTTTTACTCTTTTTAGTAGTTTTTGCTATTTTGTGCTTTTTGAACATTGATTTCATCATTTTAATTATCAATATGGGTTTAATTATCATTTTTTCTTCTATTTCTTCTATTTCAAGCACGAGTAGCTAGAGTTTTACTAGGGATGTGACCCAACCCTAGTGTGTAAACATTATGGGTGTTTGATTTAGTGTTTGTTTATGGTTGAGTGTTTATTATTTAGCCTTGTTCGTGCTTTAATTTGTAGAATTGATGGTTGCAAACATTAGTTCATGCCTATTTGACTTAGTCTTTACTTGAGAAAGAGAGACTTAGTCTAGGAAAACTTGGCTAACAAGGAATTGGGCCAATCGAGAGATTGATAGTCCCAATTAAAGGTTTCAACCTAGAGATAGTAATAACCCGACTTGAGCTTTTATCAACCGTTTTGTGCAACACCCATTTGGACTTGAGAAAGCCAAATTGTGCACAGTCACTCTCTGTGCACAATTATTAGGCAATTACACTTAGGTAATGGTCACACCCCTAGGCTTTTTACAAAACTTGAAAAACAAACAAAAACAATTTCATAGTTACACTTCTTAGCTTGCAATCTTAGTTTAAATTAGACTTAGAATCAATCCAAATTTGTGGAAGTGTAAATTGAGATAATTCAAGCTCATACACTACAATATATACTCCTAAGTCCCACATATAGCTCCTTGTGAAATTCGACCCCAACTCCTTGTTGGGTATTACTATTGCATCGACCGTTTCATAACCTCGATTTGAGGTGCGACTTGGACAAGATCAACCACAATTTCAAAAAAAAATACATATCTATTCACTAAAATTACGATACCTCTAAATACTATCATTTAAATGGATTGGCAACTGAATAGTTAATTATGACACAATACAAGAATTATATATACAAATACAATCAGAATTTATATATTTCAAACCCCCAAGCAATAATAGAAAAGACATCCGAGTAAACAGAAGACAGATGAACAAAAATAACAAAGAGAATACATGAAGAGTTCATCTGGCAACATAATATTTGTCTTGGCCTCGACAATAATGCTAGAACTCTAAACTCGGTGAGAAAATACAGAGCATATACAACAATGTATAAATAAGGCCTTCTGAATTTCCATTGTCCAACACCTCGATAATCAAGATGATAACTTGTAATTGTCAGCAAATAGACAATAATGTTATTGTAAATCAATGAAAAAAATATTATTTTCACATGGCACAATTCACATAAAAATTTTGTAAGGTAATTTTACTTATAAGACAAAAGGTACACTCAAGGATAATGCAAAAATCTCAAAAGTCACGATAATGAAAGGTTAATTCGCTAGTTTTCTTCATTTCCGTTACAAGTGAAACAAACACGACACATTAGAGAGACTTTAATTCCAGAATAATTAATTAATTAATAACTTTTAAGTATGTAATTATTGCTATAAGTTGCAGCACGCAACTCCAAATGCTAAGCAAACTATATATATATATATATATATATATATATATATATATATATAATTAAATAGAAGTAACTCTTTATTGTCTTGCTAATTATAACTTACAATTGAATGTTAGTCCATATAAGAATTTATAACGTATGTTTACATATTTATACAATAATAACAAATTGAATATGTGTAATAAAAGAGTAAAATGGTCTATCAATGTTTGAAGGAGATTGTAGTAAAATAACTTTCACTAATAGTTTTCAATATAGTATGATGTTGATCACTTATATCATCTTTTAAGTTCACATAAGTTTAGAATTTTTGGTCAAATTATTTTGAGGGGCAAAAAGGTTAGAAGCACACAATCATATACAAAGAAAATAGAGAAGAAGAAAAGGATATAAGGATTAAATGGGGTGCCCTCTCAGTCATAAATAGACTAATTAATTACTAAAGACAGAGAAAGCCAATATGATATTTCAAGCGTTTTTTCGGGTCAAGATTTAAACTACTCATTATACTTTTAGAGTTATGAGTTCATATATACTCTTTGTTGCAATTTAATCGATTTTTACATATAAATTTATACTCCGCGTTGAAAGTTATGAGTTCAATTGAACTCGGTATTATTATGTTAGATCCGTAACTCTCTGAAATGCGTAATTACGAGCTTTTCGAGTCGGGTAACAATTGGGATCCACAAAAAAATAATACAAAAATAAAAAGTTAACAAATCTTCTACTTGGATTGAATTCTTTCCATCGACGTCAAAAAAACGAGCATCACTCTAATTTTGCCCACATTCCTTGTAAGGGCTCTACTCATGAGTACTTACAGCACACACCAATCTAAACTTGTTAGCTCAACTGCATTGGTCATATCATATAAGTTGTATTATCATGTGTAAACATTTTCTTCACATAAACAATGCCCTGTCATATATATAATATCTCAGATAAAAGTGATGTCTGATGTCAATATGTGCTCATGGTACAATATCTGATTCTTACTATGATGAATGATACTATGACTGTCACAAAACAGTAAAGTCTTCTTTGAGCCAATCCAAGATCATTTACCAAACCGTTTACCAAATAGCCTCCTTCACCTTTTTTGCCAGATAGGTAATACTTCCTTGTGTTGTTAAATTGTTCACAAGTTTTGCCGGACGGCCCGGGAAGACTTGGTAATACTATTGTGTTGTTTAATTATCCATGTCTAATTTCCGGACGGAAAGATTTTGTACTATCTTCATTTAACCTATCTTGTTATATTATTCACAAATTTATTTTAACTTGTATGACATAGCAATTATAGCAGTGCATCAGGTAGGGCCTAATTCCTCTTGTTAATAGCTTTCTAGATGTTCGTAGCTCTATTGTTTTAGTCTTAATTTGTGCATAATATGCAGCTCGCAATAAAAATGTTTCTCATGCAGATATAGAAGAAACCTTCATTCTGGCTCGTCAAAATAGATCATAATGGAGTAGAATTGATATATTAAGTCTATACTATGCAACTTAGGAGTATAGACATATATATGCCAGGAGAATTAGAAGAATGTTATTGCGGAGATGGGAGAGGTCGCCTGCCGTTGGGTCTAATTTGGTAGTTGGGGTTGTCAGACTTATTTTGGTTAGAGTTGGGAAACAATATTTTCCTTTATTAGACATCGTGTGTGCAGCCGAGGAATTTGCCTCAGCCGCATTTACATCAGTTGAATAGGTGAAGCATCCGACCAATATGAGATTAAATTTTGGTCAACATAACTGGTCTTTCTTGCATTAGGTGCCTCAATTAAATGAATCTGATAGAAATTTTAAGAAAGTACCACCGCACTTTAAGGGTCTTCCCAAAGCACGTTATTCCTTTCAAACTTTCTGATTAGGTCTCGACTTGACTATTATATTAGCTGAAAATATATTTCAACTACCACTATCCTACCAAAAATTTTAAATGAAGACCTAGTTGTTCCAAAAGTCAATACAAATATTAAGTAATGAATCAAGATGAAAGACAAGTATTCCTGACAAAAGAATATATATATATATATATNCATCTCATTAAATGCAAGGACTCTTTTGTCTTTTCACCAAAAAAATTCTAAAATTCTCGCGCATAACAGTTCCAAAAGTCAAAGTCCCTTTCAAATGTGCAGATTCTCATCACTTTCCATTGCCATTAAAGTAATATTGTATGAAACAGAAATGGACATTAAGCAATCTAAAGGTTTTGTTCCTAGTTAGCTGTCACCATAGCCTTATCCTCATCATTCCACTACATATTCCCCAAACCCATCTCTATAATTTCATTTCTAACAAATAATAACAAATACCCAACGCTAAATATTGCAACTTTCACTTAAATAATTACGAGGTAAACCAAGAAAGGAAAATATACTTGGAATGGAAATAATCGAATCCAAACACTATCTTAGATTTTTTTATTTTTTTAAAAAAAAGGATCTTCTTGAATACCCAAAGTTCTATAGATCCAAATTTAAATCTCAAAAATCTTGAATCCAAATTATCAGTAAGAAAATAACCGGAAAGAATGTGCACTTAGATATAATAATTAATATATGGATTTAAAATTTATGTTTTGTAAATAAGTAGAGACCTAATATTTAATTTGTTGTTCGCCGTCCAGGAATCTGAAGAGTTTGTATCGAAGGGGAATAGTAGAGAAGAGGAATTAAAGAGGGAATTGCGAGAACTTTTGGTAGAAGGACAAAAAGGTCCTCATATTTAATGAGATGGTAGGAAATAGTTTAGAGAATAAAAAATGCGTACAATACCCGGGGGCGGATTTAGGAAAAATTGCATTGTTTATATAGGGGTAATTTTTATTTTTACGTATAGATATAATATGTCGAACCCCCTTGACACAAGCTTGGCTTAGTGGTCAAGGGTGTTCAGATTTTGTAGAAGGTCGTAGGTTCAGTTCCTGTCAATTGCAATCTAATTCTTTTTACCTAAGATGTTTTTTTTTAATTTTAAACGAAACGACTTCGTCTCTTTTAATATGTTTTTCCCCAAAAAATGTGACTGACTTTGGGTTAAAATCCCTAAATCTCTCTCTCTCTATCTCTTCGTTGCCTCACTAGCTCACTCCACTCTCTCTCTCTCTCTTCAATCTCTCTACCTTGTTGTTGCTGCTTGCTATTATTCTGAAACAATGGTCTATTCAATCTTCATTTGAGAGACAATCTAATCAACTTAAATATGAGTATTGGATTCGCTTAACTGCTTCAGTTATTGTAGTAAGACTTCTTATAACTCAAGGTTTAGCATTTCGAGGTCATGATGAATCTAAGTCTTCACTTAGTAGGGGGTAATTTTTATCAAACTCTCTTATGGTATGCAAAAGTGTGTGATAATATTCGTGATTATGTACTGGAACATGCTCCTCAAAATGATCAAATGACTTCTCCGATAACTCAGAAAGACATTGTTACTGCATGTAAGATAGAAACAACTAAAACTATAATTGAGGAACTAAATGGTGATTACTTTGCCTTGCTAGTTGATGAATCTTTTGATATGTCCTGTAAGGAGCAAATGGCTATTGTCTTACGTTATATTGATATAATGAGATTTGTGATGGAGCGACTTATTGATGTTGTTCATGTTCAAAATACTAGTACTTCATCTTTGAAGAGTGCAATTATTAATTTACTTGCTCAACACTCCTTAAGTCTATCATATGTGCGTGAACAATATTACGATAGGGAAAGCAATATACAAGGTGAGATTAATGGTCTTAAAATATTGATTAAGCGAGAAAGTAGATCGGCTCATTCCATTCATTGTTTTGCTCATCAACTCCAACTTACCCTTGTTGCGATTTCTAAGAAATGTCTTCAAGTGGGGGAACTTGTAGTATTGGTTTCAAATATTTTGAATATATTGGGATCTTCTTTTAAGCGTATGGATGAATTTCGAGAATCTCAAAAAGAAAGAATTCAAGAGGCATTAGATATGGGTGAGCTTACAACCGGTAGGGGCTTGAATCAAGAACTTGGTCTTTCAAGAGCATGTGATACTCGTTGGAGATATCACTTTAAATCTTTTAATATTTTTATTATGATGTTTGGCTCTATTCTTGATGTTCTTGAATCGCTTGTTCTTGATACACATTCTACAGAAGAAAGAGCCAAGGCAATGTGATATCTCAGGGCTTGTCAAACATTTGAGGGTGCATTCATGTTACATTTGATGAGAAATATTTTAGCAATGACAAATGAGCTCAATAAATTCTTACCAAAAAAGAGCAAGACATTGCAAACACCATGCTACTTGTTGAAGTAGAAAAGAAAAGGTTGCAAAAGTTAAGGAAAGAGGAATGAGAATCTCTTATTGCTAAGATATCTGCATTTTGTATCAAATATAATATTTTGATACCTCACTTTGATGAGCCATATGTTAGTTCTTTAAGATCACGCGGCAAACCTGCTGATTGTACAGCCTCACATCATTATCGGGTTAAAATATTTTGCAAAATTATTGATTGGCAAATTCAAGAATTTAATGAATGTTTTGACGAAGTGACAACTTATTTGCTTCATGGAATTGCTTGTTTGAATCCAATTAACTCATTTTTAAGTTTTGACATCAAGAAAATAATGAGAATGGCAGAGTTATATCCTAATGACTTTGATGAATTTAGTATGGGTGCTCTTGAGAATCAGCTTGCAAGTTATATTATTGATGTTCGTGATGTTGATGAAAGATTCTCCGATCTACATGGGCTTTGTGATCTTTCAAAAAGATTAGTTCAGACAAACAATCATTCAAATTATTCTCTTATATTTCGCTTAGTGAAACTTGCTTTGCTTCTGCCTGTTGCTACTGCATCAGTTGAAAGAGCTTTTTCGGCGATGAAGTTTATCAAGAATGACTTATGAAGTCGAATGAATGATGAGTTCTTTAGCGGTTATTTGGTGCTATGTAGAAAAAAAATGTGTTTGATAGTATTTCTAATGAGGCTATTATTAAAACATTTCAAGATATGAAACCTCGTCGAGTGCAGTTGTAATAATGTATTTAGTTATTTTTTGTTGATCTCATTAGTAACTAACTCCTTATAACTAACACAAGACTTGTTTTTTGTATTTTCTGTTTTGAAAGTCTTGTTACTATGATCAGTTTATCTTAACACTATGTTTGTGTTGAGAACTTTTCTTTCTATTAATGAAATATGTTAGCATCTATTTTTTTTTTTGGTTGGCTAGCTTCATTGTGTATTTGATTTTTAAAATTTTTGAACCCCCTTCGCAAATATCATGCCTCCGCCACTGACAATACTAACCTACTACATGCCCTATATATACATATATAAAACTTGCATAGATATTCTCTAATAATGGATACTGGAGGAGCAATTGATAATGCACGAAGGCAAATGATGGTAGAAGCAATGGATAAGCGTATTGACAAGCACAAAGATCGCCTTCATAATCTCCAAAACATTGTTTTCCAACTTGCAAACTATTATTTCATCTTCCAAGGTGTCATCTTAGCTTCCATATCCAATGCTTCATCCCTCAATTGTTCTAACCGATGGTTCCTTTTCACTCTCTCCCTATTCGCTGCCATTATCAATCTTTTCGCAATATATTCAATAGGAAGAGAGTACATAGAAACTTTGAGCCATTATGATATTGCTTGGAAAGAATACAATGACCTTACGTTACCATTTGACTCAAATTCTGAATTTTTCTCTGCTCATACTACTCCTCAACCAGCTCAGTGTTCTCCCCAGGTTGTTGGTGATCAATTACATTTGAACAGGGAAGATCAACAATATTGGGAAGATCCTTATACAAAGATTAAGCGTCGCATTTGTTTGATTATTTGCTTAGTTTTACTTGGAGCTTTCGCGTGTATCATACTGCACGGATGCTGGAGCATTTTGTGTAAGAATGACGGTAAATGTAGCCGCCAAGAATTAGATTCTAATTGTATTAAACTTTGTGATAATTCAAAGTGTATGATGCTCTGTAATGGATTCTGAACTTGCTAAATTGGGGCAAAAGATTATATGGGACCTTTGAGTCCAACTTTATTTAGTGTCAAAGATTCAAGTCTTAAGAAAAAATTGGTAGATAGTGCGCATATATATTTTTAAAAATCTAAAATTTTCTTATTTACACAAACTCCCCTACTCCCTCCCTCCCCCTCCCTTATGCCTCATTCTCCTCCTTCAAACAACTAACAAATATTTAAACACCCGATCCTTTAATCAGAAGAAAAAGATGAAAGGGCAGAAGAAAAAGAAGAGAAACTATGCCAGAAAAGAGAAGGAAGGAGGAAGATGAAGAATAAGAAGAAAAGAAAAACGCAAAGATTTAAAGAGGAAGAAGAAGAGAAGAAAAGAAAAGAAAGAAGAGCGGGAATGAAATATAAAAGTGGAAATTTTCGGATGTTAATACTCCCAATATTTTAGAAATTATTAATAGACACTCGATCCTTTAGGACTCAAGAGCTCTTTTTGCCCCAAAGAAACCATCAACCACCCTAGTGCTGTAGTGTCTGCACCAATGCTACAAGATTAAAAAATGAAATAAATATTTCTTAAAGATAAAAATTGGCAGCGCTCCCTCTTTTCTTTTGGAATCAAACAAACGAAATCAAAATGACAAATAATGCGAAAAGAAAATATGGCCAAAAGTCCCCCCCACAATTCAAACGTTATATGGTCACACATCCTCCAAATATTCAAACGTTGGGACAGGGACTGGTAAGGTACACATAGGAACTGAAGACCCAGAAGTGAAGGCCAGGGAGTAAGAATTTACGTTCAAGTATGTTACCTATGTCAGATACTTGTTGCTAAAAGGGCAGCAAGCTCCCGCTATGCGCGGGATACGGGGAAGGGGTCGGACCACAAGGGTCTATCATACGCACATTTACCCTGCATTTCTACAAGAGACTGTTTTCACAGCTCGAACCCGTGACCTCCTAGTCACATGTCAACAACTTTACGCCAAGGCTCCCCTTCCAGATACTTGTTGCTAGTTCTCAGTAAATTATTCATGCCTCTCCATCAACAATTCTTGGCAGAACTTCTATTTCATGCGCATGTTGAAGTCCTCAGATTCAGAACTTCTGTATCCACTTATGTCTGCTATCAAATACCAGTTGTAACACTTTTACCAAGAGAGCAAATATAATTTTTACCTAAAAACTATATGAGCATAATTTCTATCTCATGTGCATGTTGCTAAATTTGACTATTGTCATGTTATCAATCATTCACATTATCCTCAAATGATCTTTTTTCTTTTTATGTGATAAAATAAGTCTTCAAAATTAGAATAAAATGCCTTGTTGCTACTGTTTAAGAAATGATCTAGAAGTAACTTATTTTACCAACTCTAATGTAGAACAAAAGTAAGTAGTGAAAGGCAATTAAAGAAAATTACAGAATATTGTGCAGTAATGCTAATCTGTGGAGGCTTTCTATTCTAGAAACTTTAGGTACACTGAATGAGTTCTTCTATATACCCAATGAATTGACAGAAAATAGTCGATAAAGATATGCATGTACAGAGTCAGCTAAAAAGTTAATCAAAGCTGCAGGAAATCCTAGAATAACTATCAAAAAATTAATCTAGTCCCTTCTATCGGAGTCTGTAGTGACATGGCAAAGATCATGATTTTTATTTGAAAAAAAAACAATACGCTAGTGTACCCATATGATCTCCTGAACGTGGAGGCCTTTCGGGGGATGCCACCATTTGAGTGGCACTACAGTTTGTCCAATCTATTGTGTTTACCACCTGTTACCACATGCATTTAAGTCTGGACATCATGAAAACTACAGCACAAAGAAAACGATGTTATAACTCTTTAAAATAAAAATAGACCAATCTGTTGGCAAGTAGTAAGGAAAATAGAACCTGAAATTATGAGCCAAAGGTGGCACATGAATAAAAATCAACTCCCTTTTTTGTCATGTACAAAAGTTACGTTGGTGAAGCGAAGAAGTTTTCAAAGTAAAAGACACAATCCGAAAGTAGTAATATATGGCTTAAGTTTTTCCAGTTATCTTAATGTATATATTACCTCTTATCTAACTATCATAAAAGAACTGGAGGACAGCTGGTTCCAAAATGATTGTCGAGGTTGGAAAAGATCACTAACGCTCAAGTTATTTTAATTATTTGTAGTCAGTCGATTGGCCAAAGTTAAAGTTTACCGCCAAGGTTAAAGAACCTTAATTGCCAAAATTTGATGCACTGCCTTATAAAAGGGATGAAAGGTGTAACTGACAAAAGGGACCGCGTGATAATCAAAAAGAAAGCACACAAGATCAGTTCTTACGAAAACTTAAGAACTGATCTTTATCTTTATCATAATGCTTTACATTTTTCCTGTTGGCTTTCCATTCTAAGTTCGCATGATAAGAAAACTTAAGAACATTATCCATGATCCACCTAGAAATAAGAAGCAGTAGCCACTCGCCCTAGCTCAAAGAGAGCAAGAATAATATGAGCTGTTGACAATGCTAAGGCAAATACATGTTCATGATCATGTCTGGTGTCTAGTGTCTGCTGCGTTTATTTGGAGGATAGAAATAATTTGACAGTCACTATCTCAAAAAATATAAGAATGAAGAGTGCATTCTTTAAAATAGGTTGTTCTGTCGCGATAATCATTCCTATTACTTGATACCATATCCAACATAGCATACAAGTCCTTCAAATGTCCAATATATTAATGTTGCTCCAAAAATTAAGCTATAAGATCTATAATGCACTACTAACTTGGCAAAACTATATATTTGAACACCAAAAATATTATAAGAAAATATGATAATGTGATTACAAGTCAGTGAGAGATCGGAGGAGATATTGTATCCATATTTGCACAATACCAGAATTTTGTGGCACAAGTGAAAGAGTTTTGTGTAGATTTATTTCTTCCTTCCCTGTAGCCAACATCTTATTTTTTGTGCCAAATTTTATGACCTTTAAAAATAAAAACTTACAAATGTATAGGCTTAGTTTGAATCAATCTATCTAAGAGGGACTAATTAGTTTTCTACAAGCAAAATTATATATGAGTAATTGGTCATCGGTAAGTTTCATCCAATATATTCTTTTTTTCCTCATAAAAGGGGACATTTCCCATATTTTTAGGTTATGGACCATACAAAGGCATGCTCGTATATCTATTGGATAGACAACTGGAACTGAAACATGGATAGACATTATACAAGTTACTTCAGCCTACCATAATAACTTTCACGACACAAATAAATTTATACAAATTTACCGGCATTCACGAACTATTCTAACGTATGACGAAGGTAATCGAGGCAATTAGAACCATAAGCAGTTGTAATAGATGGTGAATTGAACAATATAATGAACCACTCTTTCTTTGCTATTTCATAACCTTTTTCCAGCCATAAAGTCTTCCCATTTTCTCTGACACCCAGAAAAATATATTTGAATAAAAATCAGAAAATACTTGAAAACTTTACCAGTATAAAAAGGCTAATCATTTATCCTGATAAAATATTATAATTACTTGTCATCGAGGTTACCATAACAATAAAAATATAAAGATGATGCTTGATATTAATATATTGATCACCTTAATTTGCTTTTATTTCTTATTTAAGCGGATGCCCACAGTGAGACATTCCACAAGAACAACAATATAGATCACAATCAGTAAGTGCAGATGACCCATAATATCCATCAATAAGTATCATCAGTGAGGCTGGAAGAAGGGATGAAGTTAGAAGAAAAAGACTTGCAAGAATCCATCAAAATAAAATGCAGAAAATTCAGCAGAGTTAAAACAATACATGCAACATTATATGAACCAAATACCAAACAAAACAACAAAATTTGAAAGAAACATCAACTCTATCAAACAGAAAATCAACAAAAAGAAACCCAAGAACCAAAAAGATTGAAACGGAAAAGATAACATAAACCTACCTCAAAGAAAAGCAATCAGTTGACTCTTTGTTTGTGTAATCTTGAACTTCAACTTGAGAATTGATACTTTTCAAGTTAAACCATATGGGTTGTTGGGTAAAGTTAGAAGATGACTGGAGGTATAGTGATCGAGAGTGTAGACTAATGCAGAAACTCCAAGAAGAATTAATTTACCAAAACAGGCTCAAAAAGAGGTTTATTTTCTAGATACATTAAGCCAACTAATGTAATATATCCATAAAGCAAGGGCAAAAGGGTGTCCATAATAAAAAAAACCATGCCAAGATGACGTCACATATGAAGCTAGAATTATTTTTAATTACTGTTTTACCCTTCCTAGTACCAAAACTCTCATTTATTATATAGTAGTAGAATAGAATAGAATTATTTGTTAATTATTGTTTTACCCTTCGTAGTACCAAAACTCTCACTTATTATATAGCTAAAGTTAAAAATAATTTTAGGAGTCATATTTTATTCATTCATTGGGCCAAATCAATAAACGGGTCATAACTCCCCCTGTTTAAACTTTGGGAGTTAGACATACGGACTAAAGAGAATGGATTGATCTTACCACATTTGGTCTTAACTCTTAAGTGTACGAAGCTCTACAATCTTATCCCAATAATATCAGAAGGACTCCTTAGCAAAATAAATAAATAAGTATATATATATATATNTTGTTCGAAACATTATGGATAACCTCAGAATGCAGATAATTTCAGTTCTACTTCAATTCCGCGTCTTTAAACCCACGGTACAATTGTAACGATCCGGACGGTTATTTTGAGAGTTGTAGCCCCATTCCCCCATTTTCTGCTCCTTTTGTGCTCTATAGCTGTTATATGACTTATCGGGTTAGTTGGTTCGGGTCCGGAGAGATTTCAGAGTGAATTGAGACACTTAATCTTATAATTGAAAGTTTAAGTTGAAAAAGTTAACCGGATGTTGACTTATGTGTAAACGACCTCGGATTTGAATTTTGATGATTCTGTTAGCTCCGTTAGGTGATTTTGGACATAGGAGCGTATTCGAATTGTGATTTGGAGGTCCGTGGTAGAATTAGGCTTGAAATGACGAAAGTTGGAATTTTGAAAAGTTTGACCGGGAGTGGGCTTTTTGATATCGTAGTCGGATTGGATTTCCAGAAGTTGGAGTATGTTCGAAGTGTCATTTGTGACTTGTGTGCAAAATTTGAAGTCAATCGGACGTGATTTGATAGGTTTCGGCGTCGTTTGTAAAATTTAGAAATTTCAAAGTTCATTAGGCTTGAATCCATGTGCAATTCGTATTTTTAATGTTGTTTGAGGTGATTCGAGGTTCGACTAAGTTCTTATCATATTTTAGGACTTGTTGGTATGTTTGGTTGAGGTCCCGGGGGCCTCGGGTTGATTTCGGGTGGTTAACGGACTTGGAATTAAGTTAGAGAAGCAGCTGAAGTTTTGTTACTGCTGGTGTAATCGCACCTGCGGAGTGGGCACCGTAGGTGCGAGCCCGCAGTAACGGGAAAGAAGCCGCAGAAGCGGGCAAGGAAGAGAGGAACAGGGGGTCGCAGGTGCGATGATTTTCCCGCACCTGCGAGGCCGCAGATGCGGGTCAGACGCCGCAAGAGCGGAGGCAACTAGGGCTAAGTGGCTTTTGTAGAAGTGGAATTTTCACCGCATAAGCGGATTTTGGCCGTATGTGCGGAAGGCCTGGGCAGAATCTATATAAACGAAGGTTCCGAGATTTTTGCCATTTCTAACATTTTGAGCTCGGAATTTGGAGGTTTTTGAAGAGATTCTTGAGGTAAGCTCCTTGTGGTTTTTTTCTTCAATAATTATGTTTTCCCACTGAATTTTTCACCTAGTTGGTGTATTTTTGAGGTGAAATTTGGGGGTTTGAGGCTAGGGATTTAGTGAGTTGATTTTGGGGGTTTGAGTGGCGATTTGATGTCGGATTTTGATAAATTTGGTATGGTTAGACTCGTGGTCGAATGGGCTTTGGGGTTTTGTGACCTGGTTGATTCCATGGCACTGTAAAGTGGTTCTATCTTATTGATATTCGTGTTTTCACCATGTGATAATATAATTGAGTTGTTAATCATGCTAGAGATCATGTTTAGGCTATATGCTAGTACTGTTGGGACCCATAGTGGTCGTTTCTTGCTGTTGACTTACTGATCTCATTGATATTTCGTACTCAGTCATATTCATTCATTTCACAACATATCTCAGTCTCTGTTATTATTTATTATTACATCATATCATGTTCGGGATAGTTTCATGACATTTGTGAGCCCGTGAGTGAGACTAGAGAGTTTGATTACCGAGTTATGCCGAGAGCCTGATTATGAGTGACATTCATGGGATCGGGCTGCACGCCGCAGCGGATATACTGATTTATGAGCGCTTGGGCTGAAGGAGCCCCTCCGGAGTCTGCACACACCCCCAATGAGCGCAATTGATATTATTGAGAGATGGATCTTCCCTGGACATGGATCTTGTCCGAAATATTATATACCTGGAGATGGATCTTTTCCACGGGCTGGATTGGTCCTAATCGGTACTGGGTGACTGATGGTCAGTGATGTATATATATTCTGAGATGGATCTTTTACAGGGCCGTATGGGCCATATACAGTACCGAGTGATTGAGCATTTGAGAGTGTGAGAACATGAGGCTATCAGCATGGTGCATCACATACAGCATGTGCATTGACATGTTGAAGTAGAGGAGTTATATTCTTCATATCATTCAGAGTTGATCTATTTTACTGTTTGAGTTATCTATTGAACTTGAAAGCATGCCTACGTTTCTGCACTGTTATTTCTATATTGAACTGTGCCGGTTGAGTTCGTCACTACCTTTCAGTCCAAAGGTTTGATTTACTACTTATTGAGTTGGTTGTGTCACACCTCCTTTTACCCGAGGGAATGGAATCAAAGGAGTTTTTTCAATTTAAGTGACATTAATCGAAATGGGATGTTTTATTAGATTCAGAG